AAGTTGGTTGAATTACAGACTAGGGATGTTGATTCTCATCTATAATGATTCATGACTTGAAACACTACTAGTGACAGTTTTGGTCAGTTTAGTTCGTATGTAGAGTCTGTATAATCAATTTGCACAATTTTGCTGTTTTAAGCATTATTCGTATGTAAAGCCATGGCCAACCAGACAGAAGTCTGAGATCTATTAATGAACTATGGAGGTGTTCACCTGTTGGTCATAACTTTAAATCATGAATAGCTCAACATGAATTTAATAGTTGTTTCTACAGAAAATATTTAGGAACTCCTACTCAAAATCAATGAGTCCTGCTTTCATGTAACAAATTCACTAGCATGCTTTAGATTATGAACTACTAGGATTCAGACTTTGTTATGTTTATATGTACACAAATACCTTTTCAATGATGGAATTGATTAGGCTTGTAAAGCAAGAATCACAGTTCTTTTTCTCCCTATAAAATTGTTTAATTGCAGCTGCAGTAGACAAGGTGATGTAGTAAGGTAAATACAAATATTGAAGATGACCCTTTATTAGTTTGCATTCTGCTTTATGATTTTTTTCCAAAAGATTTTGAGGCTACCAACACTGTAGTATGATAATTTAAGAAAAAAATATTAAAAACATTTTAGAGGCAAGTGCTTTTTCTGTGTCACCTCTTTGTTGGTATACTCTTGTATTCATTTGTACAACACTTCTTCTGAATCTAAAAATAACTTAAGAGCCAGAATAAAGTCCAGGTGTCTCTGGGGTTCTTGTCAAAAATAATCTTTAACTTAATTTCTCATTCTCCTCAGCAGCCTCTTAGCCAAAAAGGCACCTAAAATAAATTCACCTTATCTTAACTTTCAGGTTTTTAGGAAGCTATGGTTCTTGTTTTATTGTGTCTTGAGGAGTTGTATACCAAAATATATCTCGGTGGCTGAGAATTTTGAGACACGGCATAACTTTCATGTGCTTCCAGCAGCATGAACTTCAATATGCTACAAAATAGCCAGAACTGTTTTTTGCTTGAGAAATGTGGCCACTCTGTAGAGTACTTGGGTAAGGAGTAAGAATTATGGCTGTCCTCAATCTGATCTCCTTACTCTTAGAATAATGTCATAATCACCAGATTAGCAGAGTCACCTTTAAATTTGAATCCTCCTACTGCAAAGAAGGCGGGATATTTGGATTCATAACACATGAATTTTTTTGACGGGCTACACTGAAGCTGCAGGATTCTCTGCTGAGTTACCAAATGTTTAGGCATATATTCTATTTTGCAGCGCATGAGAATTTCCAGTCTAGCAAAACTTTTCCACTTGTAGAAATAAATGGTTGTCACTTCCGTAATTACGGTGAAGCAGTAGTTAATGCTTGCTTTGTGCAATGCATTGTGGCTAACTGCAATTCACATCTATGAAAGCGTTTGCATGTTCTCTATAATTCTCTCTATATTATTCTTTATAATGGAAAACTTTGTTCATTTGTAAATGCTCAGTACATTAATAAATGATGGTGTTAACTATCTTTTCAGCATAAAACACAGATAATAGAGTTCTTTCATGTGTGTGCATTTGAGTGAATATTTTAAATTCTCTTTTTTTCTTTACTAGGAGTGCATTCTCTGTAGGATTTAATTTTTTTACCAAACACTACTAGCTAGAGCTAATTTGAAGCATCAGGAGTCAGATGATAAAATAGGGTAAAAGGCAACAAATACAATTGATTGTCTGCTGTTTACAGATTATCTAAAGAGCAGCCATGAAGTTGACACTCAGTTTCTGAGTGGCAGCTGTGAATTTGACAATTATCTTGTCCATTTCCGAAAACTGTAAGCATCAGCAACTGTTGGCACACTCAGGAAAACGGTATTGCCTGGTTTATCTGGTTTTCTTTTTTAAGATTATCACCACCTCCGCTGTCTCTGAAAATTATTCTAAATGAAAACTTCATTTTTTTCTAAAATTTATATTTTTGAAAGCCCTTTTTTCACTCACCAGTATTTTTTTTTCCTCCTTCTCCATGGTATTTCATATTTAACATTGTTATGACTGCAGAATACAGCTGAGTATGTGACAAAGAATGATTTGAGTAACCTTTGCTTAGATAATAAAATCTGAATGATCACTACAACCACACCCATAAAACAATGAACTTCCGTAAAAGACAAATTAAATAAAAGGAAAATGGGCATCTCACAAGGACAGAGTGAATGTGGAGAGACCTTTTCATTCCAAGGTATGTCAGCTGGGTTATAATTGGCTCTAATTAGCACAATGTATTTAGCTATAAAAATTCTTTGCCTTGAAGCTCAGTGACACTCAAAGATGTGAAATTTCTTCCTACCTTTGAAAACATCAAAGAAAGTGCTTCCAATCTGGCTTTTACAACTGAAAGCTCAGTGATCAGTGCAGGAAAGGGCAAATACATCAACAGGCATAAAAAATATTGATCTCTGGATGGAAGAATTCTTGAAGAGTTAATTGGTCAAACCAGATTTCGTTGTCTGTAATTAAAAATATATCTGTGTATATCAATACCGAATGCCGGTTATACTTTCAGCAATATGTAAGAAAAAATGATGGAATTAACATAACTAAATGTGATCAGAATCTACTTGAAGATTTCTTAGTTACCCAGTCAGTTGTGTGATGATCTGACCTCTTTTAATTTCACTTTGGAAAACTGGACTGTGGAAGGTTATCTGTGATTACATGCAGGTTATAGTGCATTAATTTTTTTATCCTGTTATATGTGTTCATAAAATGTTTTCATATCTTTAAAGGATCTAATTGATATATCTGTGCAGCAGAACTATATGAAATTCTGAAAGACCCGTGCCAGTTGGGTGCTTCTCATTATTATGGGCAAAATGATGGTTGAATGTATAATTGAAACCGCTTCATCATTTTTATTATAAGCGACTGAAAATGAGCGTTGATAAGCTTTTCCAAGTTGTACCATACAACTTTATCAAGAAACACTTTTGATAATAGGTTTGGCAATTTACACACAAAACAGCCTAGTTGAAAGCAGATCATGGAATCATTCTAGTTCCGTGTCCTTGTTTAAAACACACTTAAAAACATGATGGTAGCTTAATGTGCAAAAAGTGATTTTTGTTCTAATACAAGAGAGCTCGTTACAAATGAACTTTTGTAAGTAGTTAATTTCCATGGAATGATAACATAATAAGGATGCAGATCATGGTCCAGCGGAAGATAGATGCAGAAGCTAGTCCTTTCTTTGATCTGCTCTGTTGCCTTAGGGAAAAATTCAGTGGTTGAGGAGTCGGCCAACACACCCTTTTAGTTATAGTTCCAGCTTTTTCATCTACTTGGTGTTAATTTTCTTTTTTTGGCATAGTTCTATTCTGTCTGCATAGCCTGGCATCTACAAACAGCAAACAGGTGCAGTCATCTGCCTGTATATCTAATGCTTGTTTTACTAAAAGTGCCAAGTAAAAAGCAATGAGGCTGTTCATGGGAGAAGCAAGAGGATTTTGAGAGGCAGGTATCAACTGAAAATAACTGAGGTTGTGTTTCACTTACGGTGTGAAAAAATGACATTGTGTCACTCCTTTCTGTTACCTGCAACTTCCTATTTTCTTTTTCTTGTGTTTTATACCATAAGATTAGATGGAGTTCTGTGGCTCAGATCTGGGGCCAGCCAGGTCATACTCACTGTCTTAGGAAGGTAGGAGTAATGCAAAGTTGGGATAAAATAGGATCATGCATACTGTGTAGCACCGAGTTAGGAAAGTAGCTAGTGGCTGCCTAATGTTGGGCCCACTTGTCAAAGGTGCGTCACTCATCATACTACTTTATCTCTTCAATCCAGGTAATGAACTGATTGATGCAAAAAGCTAAACAGGTTAGCAAGCTCATGTCTAGTGATGGATTCTTTGACAAACCTCAAGAGGTGGTACTTCATATATGCACTAAGGATGAGAACAGTGTATCAAATGCCTTTGAATAACTTAAGTTTTTGTCTAGAGAAAGGAAGAAGTTTCTCTATGTAGCTATTGATACTAAAATTGTGTCACTATGAGATGACTGGGAGGTTGCACAACTTTCTTTTAATAGCGTTGGGTATGGAAGTCTATTCTCATTAAATGAGAAGTATTATTCTTCTAACTGTACTGTTATCTCCAGCAAATTTATTAGGGTTATAGTGCATATATTTGGCTGTGCTGCCCATACTGACTGGCTTGAATATGCTGCTTCTCATAGGCAGAACTAGAGATGAGGACTGATTTCTTGCATTCCTTCACGTATAGCACAAAAATGATGAATCACAGGTAAAAAGTATATGTTGAGTCATGATGACAGCTGCTGAACTGGAAGAAGTTTGCATCAAAGCTTTGAGGCTTGTGATTTTTGGTATGTCTTCAAAAAGGATGCACAACGTTACATATGAAGAACTTTGAGGTTTCAAGCTAAAGCATTCGAAGCTGAGTGTACGTCAAGGTCTCAGTTTTTTCCTGTATACGTATGCAGAATGACTGCTACAATGACCTAATCACTGCTTGTTTTCATGATTGCTGTATGAGACAATATACAGAATGGATAACAAATGGACTAACGATTTAGAGCAGCTCTTTTACTATTAGGCTAGCATCTAGGGAAGCTGGATGGCATTCCTTTTTCTGATGGATTTCGACGGGATGTCAAAGATCAGATTTTCAAAAGAAAAAGAAAAGCATGTGTATATTAGGGCTGACTGAAAGATTCCTTAAGCAAGCCTAAGTTTGGTATCCCATAGCTTTTAAGTAACTGATGCCGCAATAATGTTCACCTAGTATGTCTAAAAATTGCTAGATTGCTACCTAATGGCAGATTTTGCACTTAAAATATGGGACGGATTTCAGCTGAAGGAAACCATGAGGAATATAGTTTAATATGTTTTAGAATAGATTATATCTACAGAGGTAAAATGGCTTTCTAGTGCAAATTCTGATTGGTTTTAATGCTAAGTTGTTTTTTTTTTTTTCATTTTCTGTCTTACAGTGTTATGTGGGAACCAATGGGAGATGGTAAAAAGATTATTTCGCTGGCTGATAACAACATATTATTGTGGGATTTGCAGGAAAGTTCAGCCAAAGCTGTGGTAAGAATTTTTTTTAACAAATCATGATATACTTGAATATAGTACAAACAACAACATTCTGTAGCCTAGAATTTGCTGATCTTTCAACTACTCAGAAATACTTGTTGCCTTTAATGGGGAAAGGGGCAGGAGGGGGATGAATACTCTATCAGTTGTCTTGAATACAAGTGTTTAAGAGTAGGCAACTTGGTATTACTGTATCTGTTGCCAGTGGTTAAATATTTTCTTTTTTCTGGAGCTGCTCTTACTTTCCTACTGATTTTACAGTAAGTAATCTAAAATAAAGCAATGTTAAGTTGATAAATGTGTATGAGAGAAAAATTGGTGATCAGTAAAGCCAAAGGTTATTGAATTCAGATAATAGTATATTAACTCATCTTGGTTAATACCATGCAGCCATCTATTTAATTTACAACCCTCGTTGTATGTATAAGCATAATACAAATTTCTCTATTTACTGTGCACTGCTTCGAGTTCTCACTATTAAATTAATCTAGTATCATACTGTTTACATTCAGATTGTTTCACTCATTGTTAAAACCATCTTATTCAGGAACATATATGCAAATGTCATTGGCATTGGCATAGATTTCTGTCTGATTATGCCACCTCTTCTAGATGAACAAAAAAGTCTGCTTATTTATGTATAATGACATAGACTGTATATAGAAAACTTTTAGGCCAGCATCTGCCCTTAAAAATGGAAACTGGTTATATCAAGGACAATATTCAGTTGGTCTGTTGTCACTTCTTGAATTAACTCCTCAGTTTGACTCAGGGTTAGTTTCTTTTCTTGGATGATATGGAATCAGATTTTCAACTGGTAATTGCTTAAAGAGTCAAGACGTTGTGTTTGTAAACTCTTCCCTGTTGTATCATCTGACTGTGCAAATAGATGAAGTCTTGAGTTATTATTATTTTGCTAGATTTTGTGTGGTATCAATGTAATGTAATAAAGTTTAATCCTTTATATTCATAATTAAGCCCTTTGGGTTCCTTCACTAGATGAGGAAACTTTAGCTTTTTTTTCACCTGGAACTTAAGTCAGTGTTATATTACCTTCCAAGGCTTCTTCAAAGTTTATCAAATTGATGTTGAGTTTCTGAAGGTGAGCCTCCAGGGGCTTGTCTGTAGCACTGTATCCACTGGTTTTGCATTACTCCTCCATTAGTCAGTATTTCTTCTCTAATGCCTGCATAACACACAGACTTTTTTGGAATGCCTTCTTTAAACCTGTTGAAGAACTACTTTTGGGGGTGGTGCTGCTTCTGTGCATGTCTCTTTGAAGAGCTGGGACTGCTAGACTACTTAGCATTTTCCCTTTCTCCTCTCTCTCTGGGCAGCTCTGTCCTCTCTTGCTAAAGTTCTTTTGAATGTTAATTTTTTTTCATTGTCCCAACCACTTTCTCATAACTGTCTCAAATTTCTTCCTAATCCTAATCTCTCTGAAATATGATTTCCTTTGGGATGCTGTTTAGTGTGTCACAAGTTTCTCTGTAAGTATGTGTGAGAATCTTGTAATGAACGCCAAATTCTTTATTTTTTTTTTTTCTCATTTTATTTTGCTTGGGATTTATTTACTAAAATTTTGCATGTTATGTCTTCCTTTTACTATCCATTTCATCAAAACTAACCTGCTCTCACTGTCACTCAAATATTTGTGAATGTGACTATGAATTCCATTTTCTTTTCCTTCCATTGCTAGAATTAGGATCTGCATAATTTTGGAGAGTTCTAGACTTCACCAAGCTATGTGATTTCAGCATGATTTTGGAAATCAGTATTCATGTCCTCAAAGCACTATTGAGCTTGCTGATCCCCTCAGTATTTCAGTTAGTATTCCTTACCTAGAATATCTTTTATTCTGTTACTTTTAAAATATGCCTGTACTGCATCAAATATTGATGGCAAAATAAGGACTCCAGAAGGCAAAGTAAGTGATAAAGGAACTAAGGGGATTTAACCTGTGACAGTTGTTATATACTTATAATTGGTAAAAGGAAACAAGAAAAAACAAAAATTAAATTCTGCATCAAAAAACCTGCTTCATCTAATGAAGCTAAGACTGTGAAAGTAGATATATCAACCCTTGACTGACATCTTCAGATAGAAGCATTCTGAAATGTCTGTTCAAAACCTTAGTTTGCAGGAGTTAGGAGTGTCATTTAGATTTTGCAGTTGGGCTCTCAGGAGACCTGATGTAGAATTTGACTGATTCTCTATATTTCTGTCTAAAATAATCTAGTATCACATGTGACTGCACTGTAAATTAGAATTGCTTGTGATTAAAATTTTATCTGGAAATAACTGTTTACTGTTATCAGTCTTCTGCCCCAGCAATTTTGACTTACTCTTAAATGATATTTGCTTCGTCGCTGAGTCGGTGACCACTTTTAAAGTGAAGTTTAATAGTGAAAGTCCATGGAAACTTGACTCTCAGAAAATGTATCTCCAGGCATATAAATCTTAAGCCAGGTGAATCTCTTCTAAGGTGACTGGTATTGTTGCTTTCCTGTTGAATTTTGGTCTGCAAGAAATTTGTCTCAAACACATCTGTGGATTCCTGAGTTAACCAGAGTCCAGCTGAAAAAGACTCTGAGGAAACCATGAGCATCTCTTTAAAATGCCTACCGTAGACTTTCTAGTAATCAAAATTATGACAACTAAAAGTCCAGTATCATAGGCTTTTTCAGGCCTAGACTCAACTGCTGTGTATTTCTGAAATCTTTGAAGATTACGTTCTTCCTAATCAATTAATTCCCTGTTACAATCCATAGAAGGCTGAAACCCAAGAACTGTTGTTCTGTAGCAATTTTATATTTAGAAAAAAATTATGTAGGACTGAAAACAGCAAGAAAAAAAAATGAACACTCCACCCCATCCTTTACTGCTGTACTATTTAAAATGTGAGAGAGAAATTTGTGAGAACAGGTTGGTTAGAAGACAGATAGCATTGGTAGGGGTAAGCAATAAGTATGTTTTCCATTTGGTTATCAACATGAAGGAGTGTTTGTAGGCCAATAAGCTGTTGGTGAAATAGTGATTTCTTTCTGTGTATATCCTGTTTATAAGGGATTATTGAATGCAAAATGTGTCGTAACCCTAAAAAGCACGACTTGTATTTTATTGCTTTTTGGTCAGAGTGTAAAAACACACTTTTCTGGGATATTAATAAAAAGAGCTTTTTTGGCCTTGAAAACAGGTGCAGAACACCCTACAGCAAAAAAAATCAACTCTCACCAGTATTAAAAATGGGTCACGTATTTTAAAAAAAAAAAAAAAGAAAAAAAGGTTTTCTGAAGAGAGATCATGGAAACCATTCACAGTTCCTTTGTCCTTTGGAGGTTATAGCTGATTATACAAGGCATCAATTGGTGCTGTGTAGAAAATTCTTGCCACAAAGTCCACATTTGCTTTATATGCAGGTACACAGGGAGATTATTTAAATGATAAAAAGCATTGTGCTTATTGTTCCTTCGGATAAAAGGTTGTCCATTTTTGGCATGTCTTAGCCACCTGATGTCTTATCACCTAACGTGATATTTGGTTCTAGCAGATGGTGACAAAGCAGTAAGTAACTAGTAAACTTATATGTTCTGTAGGGATTGTTGAGGAGAAAAAGTCTTTAGAAAATACTCCCGTTGTTATAGACTTCTGAGTGAAATAACCATGTAACGTGTGTGTGCATACATTATTTTAACTGAATCAATCAATAGCGTAGGATTAAGATAATAAAAATGTCAGTGTGTTTGAATTTTTTCCCTTTTTGTCAAAACCATGGTGGTGTTCAAGTTGAATGACATCATCATGGTCAGCTAAAATTAGGATTTGGTCCACTGTATCACAGAATCACAGAATCGTAAGGGTTGGAAGGGACCTCAGGAGATCATCTTAGTTACTCTGGTTTATTACAAGGGCATCGCCTTGAGGCTGTCTTGAGATCTCCACGCAACCTCCAGCATGCACAAAATTGTGGCCCATTTCCAGTTGATGAGGGTGTGGTTAAAAAGCAGAAAAATAACACGTGTGACTTATCACAATGAGTTTAGTAATCACTACCATGATTTAAACTTCTTTCAGTTGATACTCTTCAGAAATTCTAAATATTTATGGACTTAGTTGTTTAAGGTGTCTTCAGTATCCCATCTTCACTGAGGAGGTAGTCAGGATCAAATAAGCATGTGTAGTGTAAGCCTATTAATATTTCACAAATGGAATAATGTCTTCTTCAGTGGTCTTGTCTAGAATATGCTTGAACATCCATCAGATTTTTAGTCTTACAAACTTTTTAGTAAGATGTGAGAGTTCCTTGGTGTTCACTTCTCTGTGGTTTTTTGTGATTTGTTTAAAACACAGCTGCAACTGTAGGGATAGGAAAACTGAAGTTAATAAACATTTATTTTTTAAAAAAAAGGCATTCAGAAGTCAAAAGGCACATTTTCTCATTTATCAAGTAAAAGGCTTTTGCTTTTTTATCTTTCAAAAAATTTCTAGGTGTTTAAAAATATTTATATTTTACTTACCTCACATTGTAATGGCCATTTTTTCTAAGAAAGGAAAACGGTCATTACCTTAAAGAAAATGCAGGATATCAATGTATTGATAAATATTAACAGATTGATGCAGTTGTTAAGCCTTTACATAGAAATTTGCATCTTTTTCTCTTCCTGTATAATGAACGATAAACCCTTTTTTTCAAATGAGAAAATGGTGAAACTAAGACACTAATTTGTGTGCTAATATTGCACGCTCTACCAAGTGGATTGATTTTAATTAACAGAAAAGAAAACTTCATATTTTTAACATTTTTATGCTCGCCTCTATTTTCTTACAAAAACATCGCTTCTCTGTCACTGGTCACCATTTATATGTACAAAGAAATGTAACAATTACTTTAATTTGGTACTCTTTTTTTGTTATCCAGAAAGATGTTATATGAATTTCTAAATTAATTAAATTAGAGCATTAGAACATCCTCTGTTTTCTAAATATTTTGTTCT